AAATTAAAATTTACTAAACCCAAACCCAAACCAAAAAGAGTTCACAAATTTTGTCTGGTAAGCGCATTCATGGCTGAACTAAGCACGAGGTCAACCACTAAAGTATGCTCTCTCTCTCTCTCTCTCTCTCTCTCTCGTGCTGCAACCACTTTAATTATAATCTTCCCAATTAGTTAATTAATCATGCACATACATTACTGGACTGCAGTACAGCAACCCCTTTTTTGCCCTCTGCACTATTTCCAGGATTGATCTTTGCTTTTTCCCAGCCCAAATACTTGCTTTTGCTTTCAAACATATGGTGCTATGGCGATGGGATGGGGGAGGGATTGAAATTCTAATTGTTATCCGTTCTTTGGTCACAGCTCACAAAGATATGTATAACTATAAAGGATTATAACTGCAACAATCACGTAAATATAAAAGCAAGTTTTTGACATGAACCTAATTTTTGACTTCAAATCGCCATACTTTCGATTACCCTGTCATTATTACAAGCGATCCAAACGAAGGAAGAAGAAAGATTTGAGATGAGCTTGATGTCAAATGTCAAAGATTTAGGTTTAGTAGGTAAATTTGAAACCAAACTTTCGTCTGCAGGTACTATTTGTTCTTGACAAAGCATGCAATCAATCCAGCTCTTATTCTGTCTTGTATTGGATGGAAAACCGTAGGAGAGCCCCTCAGCCTATGATGACTACGAGGATGAGCCTACGTTTTTGGCCTTTTTGACAATTAAGGTTGAGTGTATGTGCCCTGTTAATGGAAAATTTCATCAAAGAATACTATTCTTTGATATAGGACTTGGGACTTAGCACTTCATTTCCACCAGTGGAGAATTTTTTCCCGTCCGTACTAATCAGTCGTCATGATTAGGGAGGGTTGGCAAGCTGTGTTAAGCTTGGGTTGGGAACAGTCAAAAATTGAACGCGAAGTACCGTCTGTCGTCTAACAACAACACTACTGTTTCGAGAGAGGATAGGCATAGGCATAGGCAAGGTTAGAGTTTGCGTGTCACGTTGTAAACGAGAGAGAGGCGGGGAGAGGAGGGTGGTCCTCCGTCTCCGTGTGATTGTTTCCAACCACTTGGGTCGAACCCCACTTCCGATGCTTGTTCTACTTCTCTTCTTTCAACGAAAAGGAGGGTTTGAAAAATTTGAACTTGCAACAAACAGTAGCAGGCACTCTCTTCTTCTTCCCTATCATGACCTAAGCCAAAAAACGTGGTGCAGTGCTGTTTCGTTAGTTGCTTCTTCATTCGTCCCAAAGCCATAGAAATAAAATCTTCGATTCCCAATTGTCTTTTTCTTTATATTGTCTGGACCATTCATTTTTGAGGATTTATTTTATTTGTATTTTAAGTAATATATACCGACTGAATGTAGGTATATGA